GTACATAATTTTTTCCAATCTTTCTGGTGGTTGAAAAGTGACAGACCAGGCAGATTGAGTGCAGTCATGATGCAGCCAACAGCTCACCCCCTGTGGTGGAGCCATTGGCTTCTTCCTTTCCCTGTTCTGATCCTGCCTGCTCGTTTGAGCACATCAGCTACAGTAACAAGAAATTCCTTTCTAATCATGGAGCCTTCAGTAACCTTAAGTACAAACTGTGTGTGCAGTTGCTGAGCATTAGTGGTTAGCTATGACCCCTTTAACATTGCTGGAGTAACAGATGCAATCTTTTTCATCAGTGGGTCCAGCTTTGAAGAGAGAGCAGAGAGCCGCTGCTTATTCTTCCCATCAGTGTTTGGCAAGCAGGCAAAACAAGTGAGGGTGCTGTGTGTGAGTCTGGGGGCTCTTGTGTTCACCTGTACCTGTGTGATCCTGTTCTACAAGACTTAATCTGTGGCCCTCATTCTGTGATTTAGAACAGGAATCTTCCCATAGAAATGGTGTAGTTTGTTTTGGAAACATTTATATTAAATACATTAGGTCATGGTTTTGTCTTTATGTGTGAGATCTTGCTTGCTGAAGAGCTGTCAGGAGAAGGGTAATGGTCTTGATTTTTCCTCAAAAAAAAAAGTTTGACAGTTCACCTGACATTGTCTGAGAATTCAGGTGAAATTCCAAGTAGAATGTTGTCCTACTGGAACAACTTGAACAAAGATATTTTACTGTAACAGGTTATTTTTGTAGTGCTAGAAAGTAATCTTTGAAGGACCCTACTAAAATGTAGATACACAATGCATGGAGAGGCCATCTGCTGAATCAGTAGGGAGTAAATCCCTCTCTTGTATCTCTGAAAAATTTGCAGGAGGAGTGTCATCAACAAGTGGCTCCACTGGTTTCACCAGAGGGCTTAGGGGGTTGTGTGTGTGGGTGTGTTCAACGTGCTGTAGGCAGAATTCCTCTCAAGGCTGGTGGTAGTCTCTGCTTTTGAGTCCCCTGAGAGCAGTGGCTGCCTCTCAAGTGCACGGATTTGGTCTCTGTTCCATTCTCTTTTATGGGGGCAGGGGGTGTGTGAGTACTTGGGTGATGACCAGAGCTGCCATGTGGACTCTGAAAGTCTCAACACTGCAGTAGAAACCCCTTCCCCTAGTCAGACATCTTTAACTAAACATATATGATGGATCGTCTTTTTATTCATCTCTTGTTGTCTTAGTATTGCCCTAAACAACAAAACATCTCAGCCTGTGTCATTTTCTGGCTGTTCTGTCTGATGGTTATAGGATTTTCTATCTTCCTCTATCTTCCTTTGAAGATAAACAGGATAAATTAATATTTCAGGCAGTCTTGTCCTGGACTTTCTGTGTGACTTTCTTGAGTCTGTGGAGCCCTTTTCCATGTTGGTAGTTGGAGGCACTAATGCTTCCTCACATCACTAGTTTCTTGTGGGGAGAAGTTATTATTCAATTAGATAATTTAGTAGTGTTGCGTTCAGGAGCTAAGATACAGTCTCTGCACCTTGTTTGCAGTAAAGACAAACACTTGAAAGTACCTGACACCCGAAGCTCAGTAGAAATCTCGCCATGTATTAAATGCAATGTGCTTTCCCTGAGGCTTTCAGGATTTGTACATTTTCCTACATTGTTGGATGTAGGCACTGAGTGAATGGTCTTGGGGGAACTCGAGAAGAGGAAGCCTTGGAAACCTGTTTAAATTGCAAGACTGTAAAGAACTCTTCTGTGCAATCTTTTGTCTGTAGTATTGTTCCCCTGCAATATTTGACTTGGTGTTAGGTATTCAATGTTTGTGCTTGTATTTTAGAAATGTGCACAAAAAGCCTTTTTATACCACACTGCTACAAGTGCTCCTGGTATTGCTGTCATTTCCCTGTGCCTTTGTTCACTTTTTAATTTCTTTTTTTTTTCTTTATTTGCCGATTTATAATTAATTCACATATTTATTTTAATTCTGTGTCCTTCATCCCTTTGTCTGTAGTCATTACTGTTTCTTCTGGTATATATCTATCGTGGTTGTTCCAACTTTGACACCTTTATTTATTGTGTTCCAAGCAAGAGGAAATTAGATATAGCTCAAGAAGCCACAGATCTTCCTACTGGCATTAGAAATGTGTGAATCCTAGTTTTCTTTTCTTGCAGTCACTAGAAGTAAAGAAGATTCTTGCTCTAAGTTTATTGCTGAAACCTAAACCTCAGGTATCCCTTCGATGGTATATTCTGAAGCAAACAAAGCTGTCTACCCTGACTGATGCTCAGTCCCATTGTGTTTCTTCTGGTTAATTTACTGGGAATTTGCTGAGCTTTGTTCTTATTCAGACAAGTTTTGTTGAGTGGGTTGTTAATTGCAGGTTTAAACTTGTATTTGCTCTATGTAGCAACTTAAAACATTGTGAGTTCTTTCCTCTCTATATTAATTTACTTAGTTAGGCCTTTAGAAGAGGCACTGCTCCGTTAAACACTATCCTGTTTAGTCTGTAATGACTCTACTTCTTCCACTCTAAACACATTAATACATTAATAGTTTCATTTGTCTTCGGTGGGATGAGGATGTTCCACAAAGGGGCTTGGGGCCTCTGATACATGCTCTTTGGTGGTGTAACAGTGCTGTGGAGGACTCAGCAGGGTCTGTGCTATATTTCAAGGCGGACTGGATTTTTTTAGCCTGTATTGAAGCAAATTTGATATTCATTTGTCACACTGATGAGAACAGTATCATTTTTGTGCTTCTATAAAATGAAGCACCCAAGACTACTTCAGGTCCTTGCTCTTTCCCCCCAGTCCCTTCCTGCAGTAGAGCTCCAGTGCCGGTGGTGGGAAGCCACTGTGTACAAGCAGTAGGTGATGAGATGATGCTCCTTCTGTGGTGATGAGCTGGACCACTCATCTGCTCTTTGGGTGCAGCAGCACAGTAGAGAGACACATGAACATGAAGGGAAAAGAAAATAGGTGGCTGTTTTTCCAGGGGACAGGCTGTCCTGCCACAACACCCAGGGCTGCTGGAGGGAGCAGCAGATTGCCAGCTCCGAGTGCCAGGGGGAGCAGCTGCCAGCTCCAGCTTGGCCTCCGAATGGGCTGCACATTTTAGCAAGTACTTAGCGCTTTTGGGCAGGCTGGGAAAAAAACAACTTCTGGAGCTTATCTCCTTCGGTAGCAGGTTTCTGTCTGGTCTAAAGAGCAGGCACTGCAGTGACCAAAGAGGCAAAGGGAGAAATGGAAGTGGGAGGGATACACCCACTGCAACAGGGTTCTTTTGTGTAAACCCTGTTTTTTCCACAGAGGTCATGAAGCATTTCATTAATTCAGAAGGTGCTACCTCACCTCTCTTTCCTCAAAGGGAGCTTTTCATGCTCTGCTTAGTTCCCTCCTAAACAGTTTCACGTTTCCAGGGTTAACTTCACAATTTCTCATTTCTAGCAATTACATTTCTTTTTAATTTTAGGGTAGAAGTTAATGTAAGCTTTCTGTTTAGGTTCTTGGGCAATCACTGATTTGAGCAATAGGTATTTGAACATTAGTGGTGGTGCACCACTCTCTGCAGTAGTTGTAGTGAGAGTATGCTGAGCTTGTGCGAGCATTCCCGAGCCATGGAGTAATCACAAGTAATGTACATGCTGTTAAGATTGGTTTGGGTTTTTTATTTTTCTTTTCCTGTGGGGTTACTGACATACTGAGCCTCAGCAGAAAGGGTTAAACAGAACTTGAGCTATGAGTTTGAAATTATGCTTGACACATCTGATCCATATTACTGCAGTGTGTCAGCAACTGCAGTTGGTATGTCAGTTCTGCAAGTAAAAAAGTGATTGCAATGCAATTTCTTCTTTTTCATGTAAAATCACACATATCCTCCTTGCAGGGATTTTCTTGTTCAGTGGGCTACAGTGTGGATTTAGAAAAAAACATAATTCATTTATATGTAAATACAACCTGAAGGCTACACATATCCGAGCTGCTACAAAGACAGAGAGCATGTACGTGAAAACAAATGGACCTGTTGTTGTTAGAAATTCATAGTTTACCATAATAGGGGTGGTGGGGGCAGGGGGAAGGGTTGTCTTTGAAACCATATAGGTCAGCATTTCAGACTTCTGTATTTGTATTCCAGTTAAAGAAGAAAATGGAAAAGGTTCTGGATGTTGGCTATTTTAAAGTGAACTTGAGGCGGGGAGAAGCAGAAACAGTATTTTTCATATGTCCTATTAGCAAATGACATGCTGTGAATAAGATATTTTAGTGTTTGGTTTGGCAATAGGTTTTGTGAGTTTTATTTGTTTTGGAGGGTGGTGTATGTGAGTTTTTGGCAATTGTTCCATTTCTTTTTGTTACATGAAAAGAAAATTTTCAAAAAAACTGGAAGTAGAAATTATATCTGTGGTTCTCACCAAATGCTGGGAAGTACAAGAAATCCAGCATTCTAAGGCAAAAGAGAAGGAGGGGTGGACAAGCAAGGAGATGGCGGGTGATTGTGGTGTCTTGCAGCAGCATTTGCTTTACCTGAGATTTTTTCCTTGATGTAGTAAAAATATTTCCTTGCTGAAGTACTTGGATTTAGACTTAAAATAGCATAAATTATTTTGAGATAAGTTCACATTAACCACCACAGATTCCTCACTTAACCTGTCACTGTTGCTGGAGATACAAGTCTTAGCTCCTATCGATGCATCTTCTACTTCAGCAAGGGAAAATGCAGTTTAGTTTTATAGCTGTTTTAGAAGAGTCTGTGATAAAAGCAAACCAGTTAGTTCTCTAATAAGTATTAAAGACCAAACCCGTGAAATCTGTAGTAAGTGTAGTCTATCCTCTTAAAAATGTCCTGGGGATTTATGCACTAAACTCAGATTAATGCTAATAGAAGTTACTTAAGATAATAAATAATTTCTTTAGCATGGCATTTCCCTCTAACATCTTTTTATTTCTATTTTTTTTTTAATAGAAACAAAGTTAGAATTGGAGTTTGTGGTATAAAGAATCTTTTTTCCTTCTTCCCTGTAGGCATGCTTCTAAGAAGCGTATTGACCATGAGGAAGCCCGTGTGCTAGTAACCAGTTTTTACTAATCCTGCCGAAGAAAATGAAGCCACGTTTCAGCTTTGCCGATCCTTTTCCCACCCTGGCGGCTGAATGAGAAATGGTCGTGTGATTATGCTGACAGCCCAGCATGCATTTGGTAGACCTGTGGTTAACTCGTTCCCTCTCCATGTGTCTGCTCTTACAAAGTTTTGTCCTCATGATACTGTGCTTTCATTCTGCCAGTATGTGCCCAAAAGGCTGCCTCTGTTCCCACTCCGGAGGTCTGAATGTCAGCTGTAGCAATGCAAACCTCAAGGAAATACCCAGAGATCTTCCTCCAGAAACAGTCTTACTTTACTTGGACTCCAATCAGATAACATCTATCCCCAACGAAATTTTTAAGGACCTGCACCAATTGAGAGTCCTCAATTTATCAAAAAATGGGATTGAGTTTATCGATGAACATGCCTTTAAAGGGGTGGCAGAAACCTTGCAGACTCTGGATTTGTCCGACAACCGGATTAAAAGCGTGCACAAAAACGCATTCAACAACCTGAAGGCCAGGGCCAGAATTGCCAACAACCCCTGGCACTGTGACTGCACGCTGCAGCAGGTGCTGCGGAGCATGGCCTCCAACCACGAGACGGCCAACAACGTCATCTGCAAGACCTCTGTGCTGGACGAGCACGCGGGGAGACCCTTCCTCAACGCTGCCAACGACGCCGACCTCTGCAACCTGCCTAAAAAGACTACTGACTACGCCATGCTGGTCACCATGTTTGGCTGGTTCACCATGGTGATCTCCTACGTGGTTTATTACGTCCGACAGAACCAGGAGGATGCAAGGAGGCACCTTGAGTACTTGAAATCCCTGCCAAGCAGGCAAAAGAAACCAGATGAAGCTGATGACATTAGCACTGTGGTATAGTATTCTGAATAAAATGACTGCCTTTGTGGTGGAAACTAGAGTTGGATGATGCTAAAACCAGAGGTTTACTTCTAACGTTCATTGTAAACATTAAGACTTTTGGGGCTTTTTTTTTCCTGTTTAACTGAATTATGCCACTGTTGAGCTTTCTAACAGAAAGTTTTGTCTGGGTGGTAAACTTCAATTATTTCTCTGGTGGTATCCTAAAGCAAGCAAATTAATATGTAAACATTAGTTTAGACCCATTCCACTATTTAATAACGAAATTTATTTTTTTAATTTAAAAATCAAATAAAAGCTTAAATTTGAACCATGTAAAGCAGAGTAATTTATTGATCAGAAACACGTCCAATGCCAGAGCACTTGGCTTGTTCAGTGCCCATGAGGTAGAAGAGAGGAGCGATGATGAAGTGGGATGTGAGAGGTTCGGGACTGGAGAGTCCCCAAAGGGCACGTCTCACCCGTGGGTGCAAGGTGAGCAGCTGGTGAATAGTGGCCCATTTTGTGGGCTGCCTGCCACGGTGGGAAAGGGGCACAGTGTGGGCAGAGCAGAGTGCCCTGACTCTGAGTGTAAGGGACTGATGCTTGCTTAACCTCTCGGAGGGTATTTTGGCAGTGCTGGGGAGGAGGCAACCTTGAGGAGCTGCGCCTCAGGACATCAAAGAGAGGTAAGCCAGGGGCATGTGGTGGTTTTCATCTTACATCCACTTACTGCCTTGCATGAGCTTCAGGCAGGTGACCTCATTACTGGGGAGTACGGCAAGAAGGCAACAGCAAGCTTAGTATGCTGGTCAAACTAGAATACCATTAGTGATAATTGAAAAAAAAATCTGTTGGGTTTAAGCTGTATATTAAGCAAATGTGACTTCTATTTTTCAGGGAACAACCTTTTAAAAAATTGAAAGAAATAAATTAATATATAGGCTAGGCATATTCTATTGTGTGTTAGGATATATGTGTGTTTTTGTATGATTTTGTGGCTAAACATTTAGGAAAATAGAAAGTCCACATGCAGTTAAACTCAGCCTTGCATATGAAATGGGTATTTTAAATCTCTGCTCTCTTTAAAAACACAGTGTTTTTCTCTTTTCATAGATAAAATTTTCAAAGGGAACAAATCCAGAAGAACGTATTCCTCTTGTCCTTTATTACCATAATAAAATAATGCTTGTCTCTGGGTCCCTATAGATCCAGTCTAACTGACATTGGAATATGTATTACAGAAGGGTGGATTAAAAAATGTATAAAACACTGCTTTGCAAGAGAAAGTGTTAAAGGTCAGCCTTAAAAAAATGTAAAAACCCTCCAGAGTCTCTCCGATTAGTTTATCTATTATTTCTGTTACGGTTCTGTTATGAGGGCAGAAGCTTGTTTATCTTATTTTTTTTTTTCAGAACACTGTTAAAATAATAGCTAAAACTTGTTTTAAATCAAGTGACAGAACAGGAAAAAAATTAAATGGACATAGAGTCAACTTTTTGTGTCATCTTTGCACTTTTTGTCATCTTCATGGGGTGAGTCCTTGTGACCGACTTAGCTGTTTGCATACCTCCATGAGCAGTTTTTGGCAAATTAGGAGAATGTTAATATTTGTAAAGGGCACAGTCTGTCTGTAAAATATCCACTGTCTGATATTTCTGTCCCTGCCACCAACTCCCTTAAGTAAAAATGTTATTTTCTAAGGAGAGGCTCTTGTTCATGACACATCCTCCTTAGTTAGCATTTCCTGTTTTCCTGTTTCCAAGCTCTATCTGACTATCTACCCAAGCCCCCAAACTCTGTGTGGCCTCCTGCAGGACCCAAAAGCAGTAGGGTTAAATACACACATGAGTCTGAAGAGAGCAGATAAAATAACCAACTCTACTGAACAGGACGTGTAGTGGCTCTGTGTAGGCTGAGCAAAATTACTTCCTGATGTAATTCCCCTAATTTCTCTAAAATTTCTTTCAGAGTAAAATTGGTCTCATTTCTGTCACTGTGTTCCCCAAGCAATATTTAGGATAACAGATAATGTGCTACAGTGGGAAAAAGCAGGGGGGACTAGCTAAAAGATGACTCTAAGCTGGAGGTACTAACAGTCAAGAATTTGGTGTTGTTTTTTCACAGCTGAGTGCAGGAATTTCTCCACAAAATTTGGACAGAATTATTTAAACAACAGTTAAGAAATCCTGGTCAGTTTTAAAACACTTTTAAAAACACTTGGCAGGTTTTAAAAATTTAATTTCAAGCAACATTTTCAAAAAGAACCACTCTTCCCAAAACTGACTAAGAAAAATATAAATAAATTATCTTTAGATTTTCTGGTTTTTTGTTTTTTTTTCTTTATTAGTTGGTCCATGAGACAGGATCTGGTGTAGTTTTACCCCAGCAGAACTTTTGGCTTTCCAGCTTTAAATTCTGACCCAAGCACATGTAAAAAAAGCTGAGCTTTACTCTGTAGAAATGCTTTGGAGGGATGGTTTCAAGAAGATAAGATGCGTGTTTATTTCACACCTTTCTTTCCAAAACTACTGTCTCTAGAAAAGCCTAGGTGCTGCCCTTTGGAGTCAATGGCAAACTTTTAGACTTCTATCAAAGTTAAACCCTTCAAGGAGTTATTTCATTTACAAAACCAGTTTTGCTGAGAAATTAGTAATTTGGTTTATTTTATCTGAGATACCTTAGCATGTAAATACAGATGAGAGGAAATGGATGTTTCCTTACTCACGGGAGATAGCATATGATAGAAAATATGAAGAGATATACATAATACAGTGATTTTTTTTTTTCTATTAAGATGCTTCAGGAAAAGTAAAGCTGGGACTTAATAGCTTAAATGTGATTAATTTCTCTACCCTGATTTTCTTACAGAAAACATCCATATTTTTGTTTCTAAATGATACAAGATAAAACATTAGTTTTTTCTTAAAACTAATGGTGATTTTTCTCAGCTAATTTTCTAGTGTTATGCTCTATGGGTAAGATCTGTGATAGTGCATTTGGTCTGTGTGTATTAAGGCTCAGGCTTTATGTGTTTCTTTTATTCTTAATTTGGTACACTATTAGACATCTCTTCACTGTTAATGTACATTATATTCTTAAGTCTTTGGTAGCAAGATTTTGCACTGCAATTGCCATAAATTTCAGGGGTTGAGTATGAACAGAAAATGTGGTGATCCGTGTTCTGGTCTTCCCAAGAAAAAAAGAAGATAGTAGAATTTTTATTTACCAAATAGATGCCATGCAGAGAATCTACCACATTTGTTTTTCAGCTTGAAAGGGAAAATTCAGAAGCATTAGAAAGCAAAAAAAGGGAAGTAAAAGGAGCAGCTGTAGGCTTAAACACTTGAAGATGTCATGGAGTCTTGCAACGTGTTTAAATGTGCAGTGGGGTCTTGGGGTGAATCTAAATCAATTTTGAAAAGGGTGTTGCTCTATTTCCACACCTGGAAAAAGAGCTAAACAAGCCAAACAAGAGTGAATGAGATCTCTTTTAAAAACAATCTTTAAACTTCAGGAGGGAAATCTAAAGAAGGAAAATATAGGAGAATATAAATTCTGGGCCATATGTAAAGCCATAATATGGGCAAAACAAATGGGAACATTTTTTCCTAAGCAAGTGAGAAACAAGAGTCTAACTAAACCAGGAGTCAAGAGTTCATCAGCTATTAAGGGAGCACTGTGAATAGATAGGGCAGATGTTTTGAAAGAAACTAGGCTAGCATTTGAGAAGGGGGAAAAGTCACCTCTCAGTTACTGGTTAAAAGATACGAAGCAAAAGTATGAAGAAATCTTCTGTTGACTTGAAGGAGAATGGTTACTGAAATTTCTGAGGTGTCCCACAGAAATCAGAATGGGAGCAATGTTGTACTGTGTATTCCTGGAGAAGGGAGTTGATAATGAGCTGATAACATTTGTGGGTTATAAACAGTTATGGAGGGCAGTCCAGCCTACAGCTAACTGTGAAGAAATACAGAAGGTTCTCACATTTCTAAGTTGGCAGATGATGATATAAAGACGATTGGATTTTGTGTGAATAATTACAAAGTACTGCAGATGGCACATCTGAACATGAGGATATTCTCTAAATTGGCTGTAATCAAATGGAAAAAGCATCTTGGAGGCACAGTGGGAAGCTCTTCAATGACAAACACCAGAAATTATTAGGAGGGAAATAATCAAACAGCATGGTGGAATGGCATGGTAAACCGCTGAATAAAATCTGTGATGAACACGCATCTGGAGCATTGCATTTCAGTTTTCCATGTTTTCAAGAAAAATGAACTTACTTCTGAAGTACTGAATATGTAGAGAAAGATAATAAGATAATCAAGGATATGAAGTTGTTTCCATAGGAGAAGACATCTAACATGCCCAGTCATGGAGGTGAGATGACATTAGAACTCACTGTAATAACTGAGTAGTAAACAAAAGGGAAATTCAGAAGCTCTGATCTCTGTTTCTTGCAACAGAAAACAGCAGTCTGGTTGGACAATATCAGGCAATGGATGCTGGGGTTTTTTAAAACATTTTTGTAGAGAGCATGCATTTAAATGAAGTAAAGGTTACTGTAGAGAAGAAAACATATTCAAAGGTAGGACTTCACAAATGCTTGGAAGTCAAGGTTGTTAACAGTTAACAATGCTAGCATTATATAGATACAGGTCTTAACAAGGAAAGTTCCTGTTCATCCTAGGAAGCAGGGATGGTTTCCCTAGGAAAAGCTTACAGGTTTGTGCTTCTCTTACTCTCTGAGACACTGTTGTGGGTGTTTGTTGAGGAGAAGGGAAGGTGGGCTTCATTTGTATGGCACCGGTGCTCTCGTATGTCCAGCGGGATGCAAATCAATCTGCCTCCTTGAGAGACAGGAAAGTGTATTTTAGTGGACACAAGGAGATTTTCCATGCATGGGCTGGGAATGAAGTCCAGGAAAAGAAAAATCCCATGTATGTGTTGGTGTCTTCTCACCGTGATTTGCAGCACTAACTGCTGGACAAGGTTCGAGCACTCCGTGCCAAGTTGTGCCAAGACTGTGTTAACTAAAGGAGTGACAGCTTTCCACTGGGGATCTGTGGAAAAATTAATTCAAACCTTGCTTGACATATCAAGGCAAATTGGTACTACTCTTACAACTCACCTGGTGGTCCATCTAGAAAGGAGGGGAATTTCTCTGCAGGTTCTTCATTAAAACAAGATTAAGGACTTGATTTTCACAATGAAATCCCTTCATTGTTGTTTCTTCAAGTGAAAACTGGTGTGATGAATTCTTGAAAGTATAAATACTTCAACAGTGCCACTTATGACAGAGAAATACCTGGAAGCTTTGGTTTTGTTTTGCTG